AGATAACAGAAAACACCCGAGAAGCCTTAGAGAAATCCGTATGGCAGAAGGTTGCCACAGCCAGGCCACTGGGTGCAGCTGATAAACTGGCTCCAGCTCAGTATATCCGATACAGCCCAGCTCAGCAAGGAGTGGCTTTCAACTCTGGAGCCACACAGAGGGTTATTCGGATGGCAGAAATGCAGACAGATCCCATGGAACCTTCAAGGTTTAAGACTAACGAGAAAATCCCCCAGGGACCACCTTCTCCTCCTGCACCTGTCATGTGTTCCCCTAGCAGACAGATGACTGGAAGGGAACAGCAAGAGTGGAAGATTCCTCCCTGTATTTCTAACTAGAAAAACGCAAAGGGTTACACGATCCCACTGGACAAACGTCTGGTTGCGGATGCGAGAGGACTACAGACAGTACACATCAGTGAGAAGTTTGCCAGACTCACCCAAGCCCTCTCCATGGCTGATCGCAAGGCTTGGGAAGCTGTGGAAATGCGTGCCCAGGTAGAGAGAAAGATGGCTCATAAAGCGAAGGAGAGACGTGAAGAAAAACTCAGAGAAATGGCCCAGAAAGCCAGGGAGAGGAGAGCTGGGACCAAGACCCATGTGGAGAAAGAGGAGGGGGAGGCACACGAGAGGGAGGAAATCCGGCATGACAGGCGAGAAGAGAGACAGCGTGCCCGGAACCTTCCCACGGCAGCGCCAGAGAAGAGGCCAAAAGGACAGAGAAGTGAGACTCGGGATGTGACCGAAGTCATTGCTCTCAGTATGGAAAATCCTCGCACGTGCAGTGAAGTTCAGGACGACCACAGGCTCTTTGACCGATCCCAAGGGGTGGACAGTGGGTTTGCAGGTGGACAAGATGAAATGTACAATGTTTATGATCGAGCCTGGAGAGGTGGTCAGGGTGTGGCCCAGATCATTTACAGGCCCAGCCAAAATCTGGACAAGGACGTGTGTGCTGATGACCTAGAAGGCAGAATAAAGACCAACAGATTTCTTCCCCACCAGGAGGTTTCTGCTTCAGACTGAAGGCGAAGAGGCCGAGAAGGACCAGTTCAGTTTGAGGAAGACCCTTTTGGTTTGGACAACTTTTTGGAAGAAGCCAAACAGCACGGGGCCTCTAAGAGACCCTCAGAGAGCAGCCGCCCCAGGGAACGTGAGCACGAAAGCAAGAGGAGGAGGAAGGAAGAGACGCACATCTCTTCCAAGTCAACGGACTATCAGCCAGAAACCTGAGGATGCGAATCCCAGGGGGGCAGAGTTTGTAAAGGCTCAGGATGAAAACCCAGTCCGGGTGCCAGATTCCAGCGCTTCTTTATATCACGGCAGAAAGGGGCATTAGAACTTTCTACCTAGACATTTCATTTGGTTCAAAGAGTGTGTTGTGTTTGTGCTTCCCCTGCCTTTTGTCTTTTATAGGACACACTGCCCCACACACGAACTTAAGACCATTTCCCGTTGTGGGGCTCTAGTAGTTGGGGTCCATCTGTTGTTAGGAGCAACTGCTTCCGAGTAGAGTCACACCTCGATGAGCAGGATCTTGTTCCCATACTAGAACTGTCCTGCACAGTGAATTCTCCCCCTATTGAGCTCTGTAATAATTTGCAGTAAGGAAATTGAGCTCTTGTTTGGTTCAACAATTTGATTCAAAGAAAAACATTTAGACAAAAAAATAAAGTTTCTCATTAATGATAAAAACATGTTGTGCCTGAGGTCACGTGAGTGTGACAGGAGATGTTCTCATGGGAAGAAACCAGTTCAATCACATAGTGCCAAGGTCCCGAGATCTGGGAGCACAGGGAAGCCTGTGCAGGATGTGCCGTTGCTCTCCAGCCCATCTGGGATTGCTCCCCCAGGCAGGAATCACCCATATCAAAAGAGACCCAAGCTTGGCAGGGGGTATGTTACTTCACAGAGGATAGAGAACCCTGTGAAGGGACAAAGACAAAAAGTGAGGCCTCCATCAAGAGGCTCCCCAGTGTAGTCATCAAAATCCCTCTTTCAGAGAGTTCCCAGAGATGGTTCAGTTGCTACTGGGTGCAGGTGTCAGCACGCTGAGAGGAAACCCTGTGACTAGGGCAGACAGGTTAACCAATCATGCAAACAAAGGTAAAACCCATGCATCACAAAAAAAGAGTCCCCAGAGAGGTAGTGACGTTTGTCCCATCCCAGCAGTGGGCGCAGGGGTGTCCTTTCACACCACCATGAGGCCTTGAGGCATGACAACAGCAAGCACAGAGATGAGTAGCCCATGGAAGCCTTCGCATTCTGAAGTCCATTCCCCACCCTAGGAAGATCCTGTGCACACGGTGACAATGAGACCTCGGCCTTCAGAAAACCACCCATGCCCCAGGAAAGAGACACAGACTGATAGGGTTTGAAGAAGACCCCAAAGTTGCACGTATTGGAAATGCCATCACAGTCGGGGTTGAGCTTATAGTGTAGGAACTCCTATCGTGGTCATTGAAAGTTGGGGCCCTTTAAGAGATGATTCGATTGTGAGGTCTGTGGTAGTGAATGGATCGACCCATTCACACAGCAATGGGTGTGGTTCTGATGGCTTTAAAAGGAACAAGTGAAGGGGTTTGCTCTCTCCCTCAGTGAACCTCACCGTGTAACACCCTGCATTGCCGTGGAGCCACCACCAAGGACAGGGACCTCACTCGACATCTTCCCTGTTCTTCGGACTTCCCGGCTTCCACAACCATAATAAATGAAACATCCTTACGCATTGCCAACTTTCACGTATTTCTGTTATAAGCAGAGAAGGACTGACACACATCACCCTATGAGATGAGGGGGGAAAAGCTAAAATTTGTTTTGAACATAAGATACTGCCTGCTCTGGCTCATAAGAAAGCATGACAGTCACCCCTGACCTCCGAAAGCAGAGCCTCCAGGATCGAGCACCAGAGACCCCGCAGCCAGGGACACATCCTCGATTTGCTGTCCGTGAGAGAAGTAGGTGTGGCCTCCCCATGTGACCCCAGTAGGGTCATTGTGCATAGAACTGCCTGCTTTTACATGCAATACTTATCTTACCAAGATGTGAACTGAGAACAGATGTCACGTAAGGTTGCACTGGGTTGGGGAAGGCACAGCTGATGGAGGAGGAAAAGACCAGTTATGACAGAGCAGAGTGGCTCTGATAAAGTGTAGGAAGGATTCCTTCCAGAAGTCACCTCCTAGGACGGCTCCCTCATCTGTTCAAGGTACAATGCTCTCATCCTATCCCTCATCTTCATGGGCCAGATCCAACCTCTGGGCACCCATGGCTCTGTCCACATTCCTAGGAGGCCAGGCCGGTGCCTCCACCAGCAAGCTCTGAGCCCCGATGGACCACTTTGAAAAGCAGCACAAGTGGGAACCACCTGTGGCCGGACACCGGACGAGCATGAACCCGCTCTTCCCTCCCTTCCACCTCTCAGCCTTCATTCCCTCGCGTCTCCCCATCTGGGTTCATCCAGCACTCATGCGGCCGGTGAGTCTTCCTGGAGCCCATCTCAGCTGAGACTGAGAGTTTCCAAACTTTCGACTTGATCACGTGGTCTCTAAAATGACAAATCCAAGTTTCCTTTTGATTGAGTGAGACAAATAAAAACAAACTGGAAATGCTCTTACTCTACAGGGGTGTGCCCATAGTTTTTCCTCGATAAGTCTTCAAGCTCACTTTGTCTAGAAAGAACAGGACACGATGGAGGGAGTGCTTTCCCCAGCGCATTCCCTTCTCAGCAGGAAGAGATGAGGAAGTAAAAGGGCCAGGGATGAGGAGTCCCAGCAGCATTCACACTTCCCACTGCAAGGCCTATGGACAAGCAGAGACAGCCTAGGTTGGAAGTCCAGAACCCCAGCAAAGGGATGGCAAAGCTGACCGATGTTTGCCAAGAACGGATTCAATGTTAGCAGTTTGACACTACAAAATATCCTGGCAATGACATGTGCAGCCAGACACCGAACAATCGCATAGCCTAAAGTGCCACTTAAGGTAATGATTGTGTTAAATCCCTGCCACCTGGCAGAAGGAAAGGATCTCACTGTCTAAGAGAAGAAGCCCTGATGTTTAATACAAAGACCTTGTTTCCCACTGCAAGTGTTAAATCAGTGTTTATTCTTCAGTCATGATTCACATGGTCGAAAGTTCAAAAAGCCGGCCTTATTTGTCCCCACAGAGGACCCTGGTGAAGTTAGGAGAAACCGGTGGACCTACCAAATTGCCGTGGTGGCCCTACCCAGCCTACACCTCCATTAGCGTGACCACGGCCCAGCCCCCAGCACACCTGGCACTCAGGTGCACAATCCTGGGCATCAGGCTGCAGGCCAGCATTGGACGCTAGAGGCAAGTTACAGTTCCTAGGCCTCAGGGACAGCCCACCCTCTCCCTCTTGCATTGCAAGGGGTTGACTACTCTTCAGCCTCCTTGCGAACACAGCACCTCAGGGATTTTAGTCTGATCAAGATCTTACAGGATGAAATTTTTTGCAATATGTACTCAGTATCTCCTTCCTTCAAGTGGAATGTCTGCGATGTGGCGATGTTGACCCAGCAGGTAGGTGCTTTGTCGATGGACGCACAGGACGGGAAGTACCTCATCGTGTTTAAAGGGGTAGAGCCGCCACCGTCTTTTGGGGATACGTGCTTCCGGGGGCTCGCTATACTTAATGACTACATCCTTGAAGGTTTTGGTGTCCTCAAGGAGTGCCCCAGATAGCTCAGACCTGGGTTTTTCTTCAGCGAGCGCCCGTTTGTCTTTATTGTTGCCACCAGATGGAGGGTACACCTCCGGAGAGTCATCACGTGTCCCACGAGCTTCCTTCTTCTGGCGATGCTCCTGGCGTCTTGCGTGACACCACTCCCACTCTTCCTCCTGAGCCTGTGGGGTCTGCATGTCACGATCCTGCATCTGCCCGCGCCCGGGCCTCTTGTTCGAGGCTGTCCTTCGGTGGGAATGGCCGTGCCGTCTCTCCGGGTCACTGTCCCTAGCTCTCCTGTGCTCCTGTTCTGCGGGTTCCCAGTGATGCCCATCCACCCGTCCTCTTCGGGGGTGGTCCTCACGTTCCTGCTTCACAGTGACTGCTGAGTGGTGGGGACTCTGGCTTCTCCTACTCCCGGGAGACTTGCTTCTCCCTGAAGACTTGCTTTTCTTTTTGAGTGGGGACTGGCTAACCGCCCGGGCTCGGACCCTGTGGTGGCCAGGGCGGCCAGGCTTGTCGGTGGGAAGGGAGCGGCCACCACGGGGGACAACAGGATGGTGGAGGGCAGGCCACTCTGCTTGCGGACTGAGGTGCTCCTGCTTCTCCACCACCATCGCCGTGACTGTCACCAAGTCCCCGAGACAGTGCCTTTGCCGGCTCTCCCGGTCTCGCTGGCTCTTGCCGTCCTTCATTCTTTGTTCTCGGCTGCGGGAAGGAACTGAGGACTGCTGAGCTCCAGACCCCGCTTTTATCATGGGATAATCGCATCAGTTAATGCATCTGACTGATTGAGTTCCGTGTGCATTTGCTCACATCTTAAGTGCAAAAGCACACGGAACTCAATCAGTCAGAAGCTGTGAGAGCAAATGCACACGGAACTCAATCAGTCACATGCCATGAAGAGAAAACTCATACAGAATCAGTCAGATGCAGTGAAGAGCAAATGCACATGGAGCCCGGTCAGTCAGATGCAGTGAAGAGCAAATGCACATGGAGCCCGGTCAGTCAGATGCAGTGAAGAGCAAATGCACATGGAGCCCGGTCAGTCAGATGCAGTGAAGAGCAAATGCACACGGAACTCAATCAGTCAGATGCAGTGAAGAGAAAACTCATACAGAACCCAGTCAGATGCAGTGAAGAGCAAATGCACATGGAACCGGGTCAGTCAGATGCCAGCACATGGCAGGGTGTTCCAGAGGCAACACAGTGCAGTTGGAGAAGCCTTTAAAGCCACTTATGTTGATTCCCCACTCATTCCCTTTCCCTTAGTAGGGATCCTGAATACCAAACTTTTCCTTGCACAGCACCATTACATGAAAGGTCAGTGAGGGTTGTAAAACGACAGGAAATTAGAGATGTCGGAGACATTTTTACGTAATATGAAATCAAATGCGTGACGTGAGAACCAAAATTTTAAAACCTTATCTGGCAAATGCCAGAGTAAAATTGTCATACAATAATGAGGAAGGATCGTGATGCCAAATGACTACTCTTCTCTACAAACTGAGAAAGGTCAGTGGGACAGATCACTGTCTGTAAGGCCGCA